GCAGGAATTAACATTGTATATCAACTATACGTCAATAAAATAAATTTAAAACCAAATTGGTGATGGATACACAACTCTGAATATGCTAAAATCCATTAAATTGTATGCTCTCAGTGATCAAATTGTATGGTATGTGAATTACATTGCAATAAAACTATGAAAAAAAGAGGGAAAAGGAGAGGATGGGAGGGAGGGGGAGAGAGAAAGAGAAGGTGAGCAAGAAAGAGAAAGAGAAAGAAAGAAAGAAAAGGAAAAAGGAAAGAAAACCCCAAACTCCTACATAGAAAGAACAGCCATCCTGGTTTGCCCAGGACTGTCCCAGTTTTAGCACTGAAAGTCCTGGGTCCTGTGAACCCTGCAATCCAAGGCAAATCGGGTTAGTCCTACCACGTCCCACAGAGGTCTGGCCTCCGTAGCCCCTCCAACTTCATCTCACTCCAGCCACTCCTCTGAGCTCATCCCTCCCTTCTCTCTGCATGGTTGCTCCCTGATGTCATTCAGGGTTAAGCCTAAAGGCCACACCCATAGGGTACCCCTCTGGCACCACACTCAATAAAGCGCCCCCCACCGTGGCACTTGTTATCAGGTCACTGTTTATTTCCTTAAGGCATAACCGATTATTTTCTATCCCCTCCTCCTCCATTCAACTTTAAGTGCTGCCTGGCAGGCTTTCTGGTCTTATTCACTGTGGTCAGTCCCATGCCTGTCCCATGAAAGTGGCAGAGTACCTGGCACCTGGCCGACTCTTAAGAAACATGGCCAAATAAAAGCATGGGTTCGGGGCTGAACCAGCTTAGGACTCTGCATTCACACACGTGTGTCACACTTTAAATCCTCATTTAAAGGATGAGGTGCTGCTGGACTGGGCCCTTTGCATGACAAGGTGTCAGCCCTTTGCTGGTGCACAGCAGGGGCAGGCCCTGAAATTTCTAGTCGAGCGTGAATTGAGATGTGTGTGTGTGTGTGTGTGTGTGTGTGTGTGTGTGAGTGAGAGAGAGAGAGAGAGAGAGAGAGAGAGAGTATGCAAGCCGTTGAGCATGCCACTGAATCTACGTGCGTATCAGCAAGGCCATGACCAGCATACCTCCCGGGACAGACTCGTGTTTCAGATTGCAATAGGCCTACTCATCACGTGGTCTTGGACAAGGGTCCGGCCCAGCCCCTGTTTCATTGTCTATCCCGCATCTCCCGTCAGGGTCTCTGGCAGGATCGACTGAGAACCTGGCACGGGTCCCTATCACACAGTAGGTACAGGCTTAGCTTCAACCATCCCTCCAGGCCTCCTCCCCAGTTTATCAAGTGTTGCCTAAGCCCGCTGCTGCTGCTAAACTCGGGTACATTAGATAAGTAGGGCACGGGTTTGTGGCCCCGCGGCTCCGGGTGGGCACACAGTATCTTTCAGACAAAGAGAAACTTCGGGCAGGGTGGAGCTGTGCCTGGGGAAGATGAAGAGGTTATTACTGCCTTGAGATCCCACTTTCTCGCTGCACACAAGCTAGGGAAGTGTGTCTGAGCTCACGTCTGTGAGGGCGTCGTCCGGCGATTTGGTGCGCGTCTGCGTGGACTCATTCGCGGGTTGGCTCCACACGGAACCCATCATCCTCTCTGAAAACCGACGGCGGGGCGGGGCCAGGTGCGCAGGGGGCGGGAGTCAGGCCCCGCGGGGCGGAGTCCACGTGGATGACGCTCAGGGCCACGCCCCCACCTTGGGACAGACCCGGAAGCGGCGGCGCCC